GCTCTCGCCCCTCTGGTAAGATACATGCTAGTTTGCCATCCAGAGAAAGGATGGCTGCAGGAATAGGTATCTTATCTGGTTTGGGGCTCCACAAGTCCATACAAACAGAAAACCAGTAACTCTCTGATTTTGTCAGTGGTCCCACAAGATCCACCTGCCACCGTGTGGAGGCACTCTCACACGAGTTATCTGCCCATCATGGGCACCTGTCTGGTTATCAGGGGCACATCTGCCCATCAGGGGTATTTTTCCTCAGGTTATGCGGCACCTGGTGAGCCATTGACCACCTGGTCCTGCAGCCAGCATGCTGCATTCTCCAGTGTGGCCACCCAGCTACATCAGCTGCTGGAGCTCTCCAGCCACCTTACCTTAGCTAGCGCATCAGCTTCATCATTGCCAATTCAACATGAGGCCTCCGGTCCTCACCTGCCTCCAAAAGACAAGCACCTTGGTCTGCTCCCTAGTCAAAATGGATCAGTTCATCCACCTCCTCGGGAGCAACCAAAAAGTCTTTTAAATCCACTGAACGTACCTTGCTACCTGTTTCCGGATATTTGGTGAAATGCTGTTAAGGGTGCAATTGCTGCTACAAGGCAAACAAGACTGCATTTGGCTGCTGGTCAGTTTTCTTTTTGTCAACCCCTGCTGCAAGCAAGTCAAGCCACATCTGCTTACGGCTAGTCTTGCTTGGTCCCTTTGGGATAAAATCCCGAGTATTTCTTGGGGGTTTGGTCTTAGCCACCTTTCGGACCTCTTTTGCTTGTTTCCTCTCCTGTACTTCCCCCAAGCAGGCTATCATGGTTGTAACCTCATGTACAGGATAACCAATGTATGGGGCCAGTATGGCCATCAGTGACCCAAAGGACATTGGGGGCATTTTGCAGCACTATGTCTCTCATGATGCCTATAAAATTTTCATTGTCTGGGCCACGAGTGTTTGCATTAAACATGGACTGCCGCATCCCCAGCTCTCGAATGATTTGGACCAACTCAGCATATATTTGCCATTTACTAACAATCTTGGGCAGTTCTCCAGCATTTGCCCACACGGTTTGGGCACCTGCACTCACCAGTTCTGTTAAGGAGTGATTACCTGGCCCTTGTGCATATCTACGGCTATTCTGTAGCTGCTGCCTCAGGGACAGGTGCATGGTGATGGAGGCCGATTTCTCCACTCCTCACTAGAGCATTTCACACTATCCACCCATAGGTCCCATAACTGCAACAGCCCAGCAGCCAGGGGCTCCCCCTGTTTCTGCTGAAACTGTCTCCCCAAGTCAGCTAGTTCAACCTGGGTATATGGGACATAGGTTGTGAATTGCGTCACCTGTGGATTGTCCACTGGTTGTCCACCTGGTCCCATAGGCTGCTCACGTTTCATTTTCTGATGCATGACAGGTCCTGCCTGGGGATGCACAGTCTGCCCCAGCTCACTACTGGGTTGTTGTCTTCCCTGGTGTGAGAGGCAGGAGTGGTCAGTCGCTGCACGTCATCCTCCAGGACATTTATCTGCATTTCCAACAACTCTGCTTTCTGCTGCAAATCTCAATCAGCACTGGATTTGTCATCTTCCCTGGTGTGAGAAGCAGGGATGGCCAGTTGCTGCATGTCATCCTCCAGGACAATCATCTGCGCTTCCAACAACTCTGCTTTCTGCTGCAAATCTCAATCAGTTTGCAGCATAGTGAGCAGCCGCCAGGCTCCGTTTAGCAGAAAAGTGACCACCGGGCACCACACACTCAAGGACAGCCACACCTCTTCCCCTTACCAAGGGGCTCTCTGCTGTAGTTCCTGGTCTATGCTGCCTTGCAGTAGAGCAAGCAGCAACCAGATCCTGGTCAACAGGAAAGTGGCCATAAGGCACAACATATTCAAAAGTAACCACATTTCCTCCTTCCAAGGGCTTTTGGCTCCCTCACCTGCTCAGAATCCTGCTCCAACTATGCCAATTGTAGAGCTAGGGCTGGGTCTGGAGCTCACAGACCTCTCAAGCCCATTGTCCAGACTGGGTCAAACACTTCATATGCAGGCCTATGAGCCAGGTAACTGGAAAAAGTTCCTTGGAACCTTGGTTGAAGGGGGAATAGCTTTATTTAGCAAGCACATGTCTAAGAGCTAGGCAGTCCAAAGAGAAACTCAGAAACTCAACTGCTACTGGCAAAGTCCAAAGGAAAAACTAAGCAGCTGCCAGCAAAATAAACATGCTCTATTTTTAGACGTGAGCTCTCTGCTGGCCAGCCACTGCTTCACAAACTCTGAAGAACACACAAGAATGGCAACAAAACTAAAAAGATACATGGGTGTGCATGTCCACTAACTCCGTCCACACACAACTTGTTTATAAAGAATGTGCTGCACCACCCCAACCAAACCTGAGGTGAGGGGACCTCACTAAACTATTTTCCTAACACTTGGGATTCTCTTCTTAAAAATATTTTAGAGCTACTAAAAAACTTGCATTTTCAAAATAGTTGGTAAAAATATTCCTCTGGATTATACAAGAAGGGAGGACACAGGGACCACTATTACGACATGCTATATGATGTCAGACAGACTTGGCTGCTTTCTTGTCTGCTTCATCAGAGGCTGGACTCTCTTGTTTTTAGTCTCTATTTTCTGTGGGTGACTCTCCTTTAGTATCTTGATGAGCCACTTCCGCCTATTTTCCCTGTGTTCTGCTCTTCCTTTTGTTTGCACTTTTTTGTCTGAGGGCTTTTTCTTTCCTGCTCCCTTTTTTGGCTTCGTTTACACTTTTGCAGGATCAGGTTTAGTTGACAACTTTGCCAGTCTGCTCTTGAGCTCCTCCTTCCCCAATATTCAGAAGAAAAAAAAAATCCCCTACTCATTGGTCACCTTTGAGGAATGCTAGGGAGCTGATTCATCATTTTGATAACTGATAAATAAAAGAATCAAGTGTTCTTTCTGCCTTCACTAGATGAATTGTGCCTCAGGATAACGAATGAATTGATGAATGGAACTGTAACTTCACAGACGTTCCAGCTAAAGGACAGAAGAGTGACAGAATTAGAGCGTCACTACCTCACATCCCTGATTTAAAAGCGAATCTCATGATGATTACTAATGGTGGATAGCATCACAGACAGGGAGCCAGATGTTCTGTATCTTGTGATTTAAAAATATTTCACCACTTAGGAAAGGGTGCTTTTGTTTGTTTTGGTCCAAAAAAATGAATTAAACCTGAAGCCTGAGGTATCAACTAGAAAGTCTTAAGTGCAGAAATGGCAGACACTAGCACCTCCTTCCCCCAACACTGCATGGAGAATATGCAGCAGCAAGACATCTTCAGCCTGTGGCAAAAGCCAGGGGATGACCTCCAAGGAAAGCAAACAACCTTGAGCAACGCCTTCCAGATGTCAGCTCTTGGCACCGCCCTGGCCTGGTGACCACCACCTCGCTGAAATGCCCTTCCAGTTCACAAAGTACCACTCATACTGAGAGCTCCCAAGCACCCTTTTATTGCCTCATTTTAGAATACAAACAGGCACCCAAGGATTCCAGATACTGAGTGAAATGCAACATGACCTTTAGTGTGAGGTGTTGTTTCCTGGGGGCTCACAGACCCCTGTGTCCTGTGGGTTCTCATTTTGTTCACGTTCATTCTTTGCTCTTCTGTGAAATAACAGTTCTTGATTAGAATTATCTTTTTAGACTTTATTGCTAAGACCATGAGGATGCGTGACTCCTCACATACCCCAGCAGAGTCTCCTGAAATTGAGGAGGTTTCCTGGAGCACTGCTCCTGGGTTTGTAGAGTCAGTGAGGTTTTCTCTTCCCTTGTGTAGTTTGGGTAGTAGAGTCAGTCCCTTCAGAGCACCGTGAGCTCATGGAAAACTACCTGAGAGTGCTTAGCCCAGCTTTAGACCCCATCTGAAATTTCAGCTCCGTCTCTGCATTCAGGCTATGTGGTCTGCAAGTAACATTCCATTGAAGCTCCAGTAATAACCAGTGTGTACAAAATGGTACCATGCTTTTGCTTTGTCTTGACACAGGGCTGCCCTCTTACTGCCTGACCTCGGTTGCCCTTCCCATAGCCTTTGTATTCAGGTGACCCAGTGGCAGTGGGTTTTTTTTTTTTTTGGTTGTCGTTTAGTTTTTAATAAAGTTCCTTTCATTGGATGTCAGAATTCAGGTGTATTTCAGTTTTCACAATTTTAGGCACTTTTGTTCACTGGGAATGTGTGGTGTGGGTCTGTTGCATGTTTTTGGCTTTTTTGACTCCTGCTGCCCCTGTTGTTTGAATGAACAGGTAGCTTCTTGTTTCTGTATTTCTCTATTTTTCCTAATTTGCTTCTGAAACCAATGTTCAGGTCAAATTGTTTTTCCCATCTCTTACTCTATTAAACTCCTCATTCATTCTGAGTCATTCATCAGTCATGGTTTTTTTTTTTTTGTTGTCTTTTGCCTTTTTCCGTGTCCGGCAACGGATCGCAACCCTCAGTGTTGCCCCCGTACCGGACCGGGGACCGGCAATGGGATTGCAACCCTCGGCGTTGCTCCCGCGCCTCACTCAGCCAGTGAGCGGGAACCGGTCATGTGTTTTTCAACACATATTTGAATGCCTACTATGTGCAAGCCATAGGAACATGCCTTGTTGGCAAAGTGCACAGCAATGACATGGACCACAGAGGTGGGGACCTTCTGAGCCTCCCCACCTCCCTGCAAGCCTCCCCTCAGGCTGTGCCTCGCTGCTGCATCTGTTCCTGGTCAGCCTGTTCACAGATGTGAGCCTTGACCTTGTGCTTCCTCCTCCTCCCCTCCCCTCCGACATCAGCATCTGTGGCTTTGCTGGCCTGCGTCTCCTCCTCTCTGTCCTCTCCTCCTCTGGGTCACGTCTCTTGTGGTTTTTGTTTTTTGCATTCTGAGCATCCAGCATCCTCTGAGGAGACGCTTGTTTCGTAGGAACTTTTCTGCTTGTGCTCTGGTCTTTCTCCTAAAGTAAGACACGAGTGACTTTTTTTATATTTTTCTTCATTCTTTCAGGTTGCGATTCTAGGGTTGAAGAAAAGGAATTGACTCCAATGCAGAAAATTTCTGAGGAAATGCAGTCCCAAAGGGCAAAATCAGAACATGTGAGGAATACTTCTGAGGAGCCTGAAGAGATGAGTAAAATGGAGGGAAAGGTACAGAGTTGCTGGAGAAAATCTGCAGTAGAAGAACTTAAGAAACCCTTGTCCCAGAAGGGGAATTTCAGACCAGGGATCATGACCCATGTGAAACCCCTCACAGGGGAGGATGGCCACAAATTCAGTGTCATTGGGGAAAGCTGCACTACATACTCAAGTCCTGTCAAACGTCTTAGAGCAGGGAGTGTCCATCGGACCATGTCATGTGTTGAGGACTATCAGCAGCACGAAGACTTCATTAACCTCCAGAGTTCCCAGTTAGGAGAAAGAGCCTGCCAGACAGAGGTGTTTGTGAAAGTACCTAGGCAGAATTCAGTTCTTAATGAGAATCAGAGGATTAACAATCCAGAGAAACCGTTGGCGTGTGCTGAGTGTGGAAGAACTTTCAGTCAGAACAGAGTTCTTATTCAGCACCGGAGAGTTCACACTGGAGAGACACCTTATGCATGTGCCAAATTTGGCAAAGCTTTCAGTCGGTGCTCTGTCCTTAGCAAGCACCAGAGAGTTCACACTGGGGAGAAGCCCTATGCATGTGGTGAATGTGGCAAAACTTTCAGTGCTCATTCGTACTTTATTCAGCATTGTAAAATCCACACTGGAGAGAAGCCCTGTGAGTGTAATGAATGTGGGAAAGCTTTTAGTACACGTTCATCTTATATTCAGCATCTAAAAATTCATACTGGAGAGAAACCTCATGAGTGTAATCAGTGTGGGAAAGCTTTCAGTCACAGCTCTAATCTGATTCATCATCAGAGAATTCACAGTGGGGAGAAGCCTTACGAGTGTAATGAATGTGGGAAAGCCTTCAGCAGACAGTCACATCTTGTCCAGCATCAAAGAATCCATTCTGGAGAGAAACCTTATGACTGTAATGAATGTGGGAAAGCCTTTAGTGCACGATTATCTCTCATTCAACATCAGAGAATTCACACAGGAGAAAAGCCCTACGAATGCAGTGAATGTGGAAAATCCTTTAGCTTGAACCGAACCCTTATTGTCCATCAGAGAATCCACTCTGGAGAGAAACCCTATAGGTGTAATGAATGTGGAAAATCCTTCAGTCAATGCTCACAGGTTATTCAACATAAGACAGTTCACACTGGAGAGAAGCCTTATGTCTGCAATGAGTGTGGAAAATCATTCAGTGCTCACCTGTCCCTTATTCAGCACCAGCGAATCCACACTGGAGAGAAGCCTTATGGATGTAGGGAGTGTGGAAGGACCTTTAGTCAAAAGGGACATCTTATCCAGCACCAGCGAATCCACACTGGAGAGAAGCCCTATGAGTGTAAGGAGTGTGGGAAAGCCTTCAGTCAGAGTTTTAACCTTGTTCACCACCAAAGAACTCACAATGGCGAGAAGCCGTACAAGTGTAATGAATGTGATAAAGCCTTCAGTGTGCTTTCTTCCCTCGTGCAACACCAGAGAGTACACAGTGGGGAGAAGCCCTATGAGTGCCATGACTGTGGGAAGGCCTTCAGCCAGGGCTCACACCTTGTTCAGCACCAGAGGAGTCACACCGGAGAGAAGCCCTATGAGTGTAATGAGTGTGGGAAAACCTTTGGGCAGATATCCACCCTAATTAAGCATGAGAGAACACACAATGGGGAGAAGCCCTATGAATGCCATGACTGTGGAAAGGCCTTCAGCCAGAGTGCCCACCTTCTCCGCCATCGAAGAACTCACACTGGAGAGAATCCGCACGAGTGCAGTGACTGTGGGAAGGCCTTCAGTGTCCGCTCCTCTCTCATCCAGCATTATAGGATTCACACTGGTGAGAAGCCCTACGAGTGTAGCCAGTGTGACAAGGCCTTCAGTCAGCATTCACAGTTTATTCAGCATCAGAGAATTCACACTGGAGAGAAACCCTACATGTGCAACGAATGTGAGAAGTCCTTCAGTGCACGCTTATCCCTTATTCAACACAAGAGAATCCACACTGGAGAGAAACCGTACAAATGCACTGAATGTGGAAAATCTTTCCGACAAAGCTCTCACCTTATTCGACACCAGAGAATTCACAGTGGGGAGCGACCTCATACGTGCAATCAGTGTGGAAAAACTTTCAGGCAGAGACTAACTCTTACTAGTCATGAGAAAATACATAGAATTCACATTGGACAGCAAGCCTGTCAATGTAGCAAGTGTGGGGAGCTCTTTAGTGCACAGTCAGTGTTCATTCAGTATCGTGCATTTCACAGTGGAGAGCTCTGCTGATAAGCTCTCCACTGTTTTATGTTATGTGTCACACCGGTGAGAAAGCAGCCACTTTATGGTTTTCATTTTGGAGATCCAGCCCTTCAGGGGTTTAACTGTCTCTCTGAGCTGCTGACTGAGCACTAGCTGCTGAATTACGTGGTAAAAATGTCAAGGTAGCATACCTTCCCTCAGGTTCAGAGGATGGCTCCCTGCTTGAGCATTTTAAACAGGTGCAATTTAAGTGTAATGATTTAGGCGTGTTTTGTAGCTCCAGCCCTGAGAGTGCAGTTAGGCATTTCATTTGACCACTTGCTTTACTTTCTATTGTTCATTTTGGCTTCAGGAGAGGTAACTGGGAGCCTCACTCAAGTGTGGTGGATCCAGGCTGGAATTTTCTTGTTTGGGCCTCTTCACATGTTTTTGTCCTTTTGTGGGGGATATGGTGCCTCTACCTTCAAAACTATTATTCTTTTTTAACATCAGATGACCTGCGAAGGAGAGAAACCTTACAACTTCAAGCAAAAGTTTGTTAATGAGGTGAGACCTGTATGCAGATTCAAATGTTGAGATCCTGTTAAGAAGCCACACAACACATGAAATGGACTTTTCTTTTTTTTCTTTTTTCTTTTTTTTTCTTTTTTGTCTTTTTCCGTGTCCGGCAACGGATCGCAACCCTCAGTGTTGCCCCCGTACCGGACCGGGGACTGGCAACGGGATCGCAACCCTCGGTGTTGCTCCCGTGCCTCGCTCAGCCAGTGAGCGGGAACCAGTCTGTATGTGGGATCCGAACCCTCGGGTGGGAGCGCCGCCGCGCTTCCCAAGCGGCGCACTTATCCAGTGCGCCACCGGGCCGGCCCTGAAATGGGCTTTTCTAAGAGGTAACTTAGAAAACAGGAAGAACCCTGTGAGTCAGGAGGATAATAGGTGTGATGTAGACACATGGTGGCAGTGACCAACCTACAGACTCTGTTCTTGACACCAGGTGGGTCCATCTCATCAGTGTCTAAGGGAGCAAAGGCTAGTGGTCATGGCTGGCACACCGGTCTCCAGGCTTCTGTTACTGGGAGGACTGGGGAGAGTGGCAGGTCCTTCTGGCAGAGGATGGGACTTTGGTCCAGGGTCATGGCATGAAGCAGTGTTGCCTGGGAAGATAGGTCTGTGTGCTGGGTGTCTGCTGCCGTCCTCTGGGGCAGTGCTGACAAGCTGGCGTCTGTGACCATGGGGGCTCAGTGGTCAGCATTGCTGCCCCACATCTGCCCTGGTCTACCCATTGTGTGGTTCATGTCATTGCCTTCAGGACCCCTGTTCTGCAGAAACTTCTGTAGCTCTTCTGTGGAGGAAAGAAGGTTAGCATCAAAATAAATATGAGAAAATCAGCAGAAGCGTCCATGAGGGAGAGTTGTGTAAACCTAGCCCTGGCAACTGACGGTGGCTGTAGAGTCTGATGAAGAGGCTGGAGGCCACACATGCAGACACCTCTGGAGGGGGTGGCAGGTCAGATTTGGGGTGAGCTGTAGTGCTTGGTGTGTGAGTGTCAGGGTAATGAGGAAGTGAATGAAAAGGTGAGAGTGATGAGTTACTTCAGAATTGGACTTGTTATTTCTTTGTAGAACCCTTCTCACTAATAAAACTATTCCAGTGCTCCTGTTCATGTAAAGGAACTATCTCAGAAGCTGACCTGTCTTTTCTCCTTACATCAACTAGGCCCGGGGCTCAGTCCTTATTTTCCAGTCTGTTGTCCACAAAGTGCCCTTTTGTCTCAGTTTTAACTGATTTACTTGGTTAAGAAGTCAGGAGGGACCGAGTGAATAACGGCTCTGTGCCAGGCATCACATGTAGCACATAGAGACTTTGCACGTAAGGTGGTAGTGCTCCCTAAACACACTTTACCACAGATGGCTTTGGCTTTTTTTGGTTTTTACTGGAATGAATTTACTGTGATGATACTAGTTGTCACTGGCTGAACAAAAACTCTGATTCAGTCACAAACATTTACCTTTTAGCCTTGCCCTGTGCCAGACACTGTGACAAATGGATTTTCTAACTTAATCCTCACATCAACTCAGCAAAGTAGGTGTTTTCTAACCCATTTCACAGATGAGGCTGAGGCACAGTGAGGCTCCACAGCCCAGGCTCCTCTCCACCTGGGGTGTTTCATGAGTGCCTGCTGCCAGCTGGGGCTGTGTCACACCTCCAGGTTCCAAGAGTGAAGAAACTGCCAGCAGGGAGCTGGCAGTCCACTGGCTGGCCCGGTACACCCACCTGACTAATGATAAGTGGGAACTTGTACATTTTACTTAGACTTGGTTGGGTAGGCATGTCTTCTAGATGCATCATCAGTGAAGGAAAGTGAGCAGAAGGCCACGGAGTGGGAGTCTGTGTCTTATGACTTCACGCATCCATTGCCAGGGAGCCGCGCTCCCTCTGCGAAAGCGGGAGTGCCTGTCCCTTCGGGAGGTGAGTGAAACGCTTAATGTCCTGAAGTCACTTCAGAATCTTCTTACCTGACTCTCTTGGCTGCAGTCTGAGCCAGGGCCTTGGAGCTTTTTATCCAGTTACTACTTCTGCTTCTAAAGAAAGAACTTTTAGGAAGAAAAAGAAATTCACTGCTTTAGCCCCAAAGATCTCTTCTTTGGGGTCCCTTGAGAGATAAGAAGGGCCGAGAAGCTGTGGCAGTGTCCTCCACTGAGGCCTGATGATGAGACCACCGAGTCAGGGGAACATAACTTCTTTTCTAACTCCCTCTTTGCATATAATGGAGGTGTTTACTTAAGAACCCCAGAATTTATTCCAATCCTCCAATTTATGTTGTATGGCTAAAACATCTTTCTCTATGACTAACTTTATGATCAGTTTGGATTATATTTTTTCTGTTCAATATTTCATTCAAATTGTACTGAATTTTATTTATCATTGTTGTTAATGTTGTCAATTCCAGTCAAAAATTTCTGTTACCCAGTTTCTTACTTAGCTGTGTGTAGTAGTATGTTTTTGTGCTGCTATAACAGAGTACCTGAAACAGAGTAATTTATAAAGGAAAGAGGTTTATTTGGGTCATCAGTATGGGACAGTTGCATCTGGCATGGGCCTCCGGCTGCTTCTACTCATGGTGGAAAGTGTCAGGCACTAGCTGGCAGGTGCAAGGAGATCACATGGAGAGAGGAGGCAAGGGGTGGGGGGAGGTGCCAGGCTCCTTTAACAACCAGCTCTTGTGGGAATAGAGCGAGATCTCACTCACACCTTCCCCCTTCCCCCTGGAGGGCATTAATCTGTTTATGAGGGACCCACCCCCATGACCAAAACACCTCCCAACATTGCCACACTGGGGATCAGACTTCAACGTGAGCTTTCTGTGTGTGTGTCAGGTAGAAGGCAACATGTCCAAGCTCTGTCACTTGGCGATGCCTTCACCACAGACAAGGTGGTGCACCTTGAGCACTGCAGGGCCTGGTCCGCGTAGGGGGTGGGGATGGAATGTTTACTCCAGCTAATTCTGTCTGTTGCCAGAAAATGGGATTATTAAGTAAAAATCCCAGAGACTGGGCAGCCTTTGCGGCAGGCAGAAAGGATGCCCCAGGCCAAGGAGGCAGTGCTGGTGGTACCAGGAGCCCCTCAATTTTTCTCCGTGTCTGGCATATCCACAGATGCCTGGGGGCTGTGGACTCCTTAGGCCAGCCCATGACCTTGACCTCCACGACTAGTTCTTGACCTACAACTGAAGATTGAGTCAGAAAGGGACTGAGATTTGGTCTTTCTGCTGTAAAAGATGTTCTGTCTCTGAGCCTGTTGATTTGTTGTGTGCTGTCCTGTGCTGCCAGTCCTGCTGGCTTATCATGTATAGTTGATATTTCATTTCCATGCCATTTATTAAGGTTAATTTGAGTTTTATGTGTACATTCACAAGTGTTAAGACGTAATGGGGGGATTCCATTATTGCCTGTGTTCACGTAGGAGTGGGAGGCACTTTGCATCGTTGGGAAACTGCAAGATCTTTAGGACTCAAGTCTCACAACTGAGCTGGGGTGGCCTCTGCCCCGAAACCTGCTAAGGCTTCTCCACTGCCCAAGATGTTCCCACAACCAACCTCTATGAAAAGATAGACAAAGGTCATTAAAAAATCACAGAAATGCGAAGTAATATCACTAGAGATGCCAGTCTATGTCTTTTGATTGGGGAATTTAATCCTTTTACATTAAGAGTTGTTATTGAAAACTGTTGGTTTACTCCTAGCATTTTACTGATTTTTGTTTGGATGTCTTAAGTGTCTTTTGTTGCTTTCTTGCTGATTTACTGTCTGTTTTCTGTATTTTTCGGTTCCTTGAGTTGGAGATAGACTTCTTTCTGTTTGTTTGTTTTCTCTTCATGGATGCCATTTTTATTATACTACTGGGTTTTGATTTTCTTTGAGTTTTTATGGCAGTGGTAGTTATTTTTCAGTTACCAATCTCAGTACTCCCTTGAGAATTTCCTGTAAGGCTGGTCATGTGGCAGTGAACTCCTGCAGTTTTTGTTTGTATGAGAAATATACTATTTGCCCTTCATTTCATAAGGATTGCCTTGTGGGGTAGAGTATTCCTGGCTGGAAATCTCTGTCTTTTAGTATTTTGACTATATCAGCCCATTCCTTTCTGGCTTTTAGGGTTTGTGATGAAAAGTCTGATGTTAGTCTGATTGGGGCTCCCATATAGGTGATTTGATGCTTCTCTCTTGCAGCTTTTAAGATTCTCTGTTTGTCTTTGAGTTTTGCCAATTTGACTGTAACAGGTCTTGGAGAAGACCTTTTGGAGTTGAATACATTTGGGGATCTGTGAGCTTCCTGAATCTGAAGATCTGTGTCTTTTCCTATACCTGGAAAGTTTTCTGCCAGTAGTTTGCTGAATATGTTTTCAATGCAATCTCCTCTTTCTTCCCCTTTTGGAATACCCAAGACTTGGATATTTGAGCGCTTCATGTTGTCTGATATTTCTCTCAGATTTTCTTCAGTGTTTTTTATTCTTTTTGTCTGCCTGTGTTATTTCATACAGCCCATCTTCAAGGTCAGAAGTTCTCTCTTCTGCTTCGGCAAACCTGCTGGTTAAACTCTCTGTTGTGTTTTTCATTTCGTTGAATGAATTCTTCAGCTCAGCAAATTCTGGCACATTCTTTTTCAGGGCATTGATTTGCTTGTACATTTCTTCTTTCAGGTCCTGTATACTTTTTTTCATTTCATCATGTTGTCTAGCTGAGTTTTCTTGTATGTCATTTTGTTTCCTTAGAATTATCACTTGAAATTCCTTGTCAAACATTTCAAGGGCTTCTTGTTGTATAGGATCTAGAGCTTGAGAGTTATTACCCTTTGGTGGTGTACTTTCTGGATTTTTCTTATTTCTGGTATCTTTCCTTTGATGTTTAGTCATTGTGGCAGGGGATTTCACAGTCCACTGGTTTGACACTATTGTCTGGCTATGATGCTGCTGGGGTTGCCAATTTGGTATGGCTGCCTCAGTGTCTGCTCGGTTGCCTACTAGTGCCTCAGGTACGTGGTCACCCTGGACCTTGGACTTGTCAGG